CCCCCCCAAAGGCGGAGAGAGAGAGGGAGAGGAGGAGGAGGAGGAGAGACAGGGGGAGAGGAGAGCTGATGCCTAAGCGAGTCACTCGGCGCAGGCACGGCGGGCGGGACCACAACTTCCCGGGGCGCGGAGCGGCGCGGAGCGGCGCGGAACGGAGCGCGGCGGTCGGAGCGCGCCCATGTCAGCGCGGCGCCGGGGGACTGCACGGCGCTACGGGCAGCACTGAGCAACCCTCCTCGCCCAGCGATGTATTCACTGCTCTCCGCCTGCACTTGCCTGTAAGGATTATGGCATATATGTATTTTTTTTCCTTCTGTTTTTTTTTTTTTCCCTTCTTTTTAATTATTATTTTTGTTATTGTTTTTATTGAGTCTATTCGGAAAACTTTCATCTTGGAGGCTCCGGTTGCGTTTTTGCCTGCAGCCAGGTGGGAGCGGGGAGCGGAGTCCCTTCGTGTGCGCAGCGCCGATCTGCGCCGCTTAAATAATCGCAAAGAAAAACAAAGCGAAAAAAAAAAAGTAAAAAAAAAAAAAAACAAAAACCAAAAACGCGACCGTAACCATTGCACCGCATCATCTGATCTTTTGTTGCCTTTTTTTTTTTTTTTTCTCCAGATGTTTACATTTCCTGCTGCTGTGCTTTCAGGTACAGGTACGTTGTCCTTTTCTGTCCTCTTTCGCTTTTGGTTGTTTTAAAAAAAAAAAAAAAAAAAAGAGAAAAAGTAACAAAGGCGGCGCTGACCCCGGCGCGCCCCGCACCTCCGCGCTGCGCTTCGCCCTCCGGTTGCGCGGATCCCGGTGCGGGTGCTCCGCCCGCAGCGCCGCGCGGTGCCCGCGGAGTCCGGGAGGCAGCGCTGTGCTGGGCGCGGAGGGATGCACTTGCCTTGGAGCGGCAGACGCTCTCCTGCTCCTGTTTTTTTTTTTTTCCTTTATTTCGTAGGGGACTTAACTCCCAAAAAAACGATACTTTGCAAAACACGGCGTGCCCAAGCCAGGAGGAGGCTGCGCTCTCCCTCCCCTTTATTCTGGAGGAAGGCGTCCAAGCCTGCTGCTGCCTTTGATCCTGCCTGGGCAGAAGGCAGCTGCTGATGGGGCACTGCGGGTCGGGGCTTCCAGTGCCACGTCCGTAGGACCCCCGGTGTCATGTCCGGGGGATCCCTGCTGCCGTGTCTGTGGGACCCCAATGCAGATGGGCACAGCAGGTGCCACAGCCCCGCTGCCTGCTCAGTGCCACCTGGTCCTGTGTTGGCCCTGCTGCACCTGCTGGTGCTCTGCAGCCAGAGGTGGTGCTGGCAGTGCCTCAGGAGGGGCTGCGTCCCTGCGGTCAGGCCCAACCCAACAGCCCCATCCTCTGCTCCCCTCCTCTGAACGCATCCACTTATTCTTCCCCTCATCCCTCTGAAAATCACGACTCCCCCGGTGAACCACCAGCACAGCCCCTGCGTCGCACAGACCGCAGCTGTAAATCACAGCCGCCGCTCTCCGGTGCGTTTTGTTGTTGTTGTTTTAATCCCAGACCCGAGGAATCCCGGCTGCGATGGCACCCGCTGCAGCGGGAGACATTTTTCTGTGATTGTGTGGTAACTGAAGTTAATCAGCCCCGGCCCCCTCCCTCTCCCCCTCCCTTTGGTGCTTTTAGTGAATCAGAAAAAGTTTGGCCTGCTGCCTGGAAAGCACTTGCTAAAATCTGATCTCTTACTTCAGCAGCCTTAAAACTTGGGAAGTTATTGGCATTTATACAGTTGGAGCTCGCGGGCTTCCAAAGCAATAAAATAATATAAAAAAAAAAAAAGAAAAGGGAAGGAACAAGTCGGTGCTGTTGTGCTATTAGAAGCATGCTTTCTCGGTCTTGGTTGCGGGATGCGCCGTGCGTGGGGCTCAGCCTTCCAGCAGGGCCACACGGGGCTTTGCAGTGTTAATGGCAGATGAAAAGATGTGAGCACCGTAAGTTTTTATTGCCCATTCTGTTACACTTTCTTTCTGGATTTATTCACGGGATTACATGTTTTGAGCCTGAATGGGAGCGAGGGATTATAGGATTTCTTTCATAATGATCAGTTTGGGTAGGAGTTAGCCTTTGGTGAACCGGAGTAAATTAATGCATCGCTCCGGTTTAATATTTATTTAGGCTAAAAGAAGTTGTTTGGTTTTGCTTAAAGGGCTCTGCGCAGCGCTGGGGAGGTTTAGGGACGGATTATATTCTCAGGATGGATGGATTATATCCTAAGGCTGATTTTCACCTCCTGCCGCTGTCGCCATCCCGCGGCTGCGTTGGGAGCGCTCCCGCCCTGTGCGGGGCCATAGGGCTCTGCGTGTGAAGGTGATGCACCTGCAGTGTGCTCCGGGGTCCTGTGGTTGTGCTTCTGCTGCAGGAGGAGTGGTACGGGGCGGCTGCTCCTCCACGGTGCAGCATCCCCTGGTTTGGGCTCGCGGAGGAGCCGGGCTCCTGCAAGGTGCCATTGTTGGGTGACACGTCTCATGAGGGATGCGTGGTGCAGAGCCAAGCTCCTGGCACAGCTGTGAGCATCCCTTTGTGGCTCCTGCTCCATCCCTGTGGCCACGTTCCTACCTTGTCTCCTTCCAGCAGCTCCTTTGCTGCCTGGGGTTGCTGTGCCCTGAAAACAGTCCCAGGCAGCAGAGAGGTGAGGTCTCTTTGGGGGCACTGGGGAGGTTAAGCTGATCATGCAGGTTTCACTTTAGGGCTGCTCTGCTGCACTACAGCCTCTTCTGCTTTCACTGCCCCTCAGCATTCTTCTCTTTAGCTCTCCTGCCCCTCACCGTGCCCTTCACGTCTGCCCGGCTCACAGAGAGGGCCTGGCAGGGCCTAAGTCCCTTGCTCTGATGCTTCTCGTGTATTAGGATCCAGCTTGGGAATCTGATCCAGGAGCAAACAGGAGGTCAGAGCAGCGCACGCTGCGGCACCGTGCTATTTTCCCATCTGCTATTGTTGTGTAAGAGGGAGATGGCTGCATCATGCCAATAGTAACTGTTTCTCTAAAGGTCCCGTGCAGCTCCGGGCAGTCACTATTTGGGGCTGTGTAAATTGGGACATAGAGAAATGCTGTTTTCACATACTCAGCGGGCCAGGCCCTGTGTCCTGTGATGGGTGGCACAGGCCCAGCCCTGGGGCTGGAAGAGGTGAGGCTTAGGGCAGCCAACTCAGCTGTGCTTGGGACCGGGGCCATCACTGCCATCTGCAGCACCCACTGTCCTGCCACACCGTATTGCCTTTGGAGAGGCAGAGGCCTCTGTCTTGCAGATTCCTGTCCAGAGAGGCAAAAAACCAAGCGTGTGAACTTTGGTATACCAGGACTTTTCTGTTGTGCCAATGGGCAGCAAAGAAGAGCTGCTGCTTGGATGCCTTAACCTGCAAGCCCATGTATTGCAACTCATATTGCAGTTTCAGAGCTTAGAGATATGCAGGGTGCTTCAGGGAAGAAGGAAGAGCTTGCTCACGGCAGAGGTGAGCACACAGCAGGGTGTAGTAGGTGTGGGTTCAGAGCTCCCCATCTGAGATAGCTGGACACGCCGTGATGGCTGTATTTAATTTGAGTTTTGCCTTCCATATTGCAACTGGCATGGACAAGGCTGGATGGAGGTGAGGGATGCTGAGATTTGGAGGGATGCCTGCTTTTAAAATCTCCATGCTATGTCCTCATACTACAGTTTGGGCAGAGAAGGGGCAGGGTGCAAAGGGTGCCCAGGCTGTCTTGGTTTTGTCAGAGCTGGTGTGAGTCCAGCAGCAATGCCTGCACATGAGCAGCATCCGGAATAGTTTATGTTGCCATAAGCCACAGCATCAGTCTGGGCACCGGCAGTTTCTGCAGCTGTGATGTGATCCAGCTGAGCAAGCGAACCTGGAGAGAAAGGCTCCCTTGGGGCTGAAAGTCACTCCTCTGGATCCACAACCCAATTCCTGGATCTTCGGGGCATTTTTTGTGTGTCTCTTCCTTTCCTCAGGAGCTGGGAAAGTCCCTGCTGCCTGCTCTCCCCTCCTCCTGTCAGTGCTATCTGATTTTGCTTTGATTCCTTCCAGATACGGACGCTTTTGATACCAGTTGTGATAAAAGCAGGTGAAAAAGAATTTCAGGAAATTGTGAGATTTTAAAAAGGAATAAAGGAACCTGGGAGGGCAGATACCAGCCTCGGGGACCACCAGGCACGCAGCCTCTGAGGCATCTGTGTGGTTCTGTGCCCACAGGGCCAGGGCAGTGTGGAGCCATCCTTGTGCCCTGCATCTCCCTGCTCTGCTGTGGGGATCACAGGGCTTCAGCCTGGTGCCGTTATCTTTTTTCTTGGCTCTTTTTTGTCCCATCCCTGGGCTTTTGTGTCTAGGTCCCTGTGGGCCATAGCAGCAGGCACAAGCAGGAATGGTGCAGCCCTGCCTACCTGGCGTGTCTCCTGTTCGCTGGTGTCTGAAATGCCGATGGAGGATTAGCATCCAGCGAAGTAGCTGGAGGGGAAGTGAGAAAAAAACATAGAAAAGACCGTCTGAGTCTGCCAAAGTATTTTCTTATTGGCATTCAGCAGCCTCGCCATAGCATGAAGAGAGAAGAAAGGAGAACAGAGAGAGGAAGGAGGAGGCTTAGCCTGTCATGGTCTGCCTACTTTCTTTTGTGAGAGCTCCTCGCCACGCCGGTGTCTGCGGTGGGTGGGAGCGGACGTGCCGATCCCTGCCGGGGGCTGCCGGGCTGTGCCCCCTCCCCTCGGCCTCCCACAGCACAGGGCCAGCTCGCAGCAGCCGCCCCTGGGCAGATCCCTCCTGTTGTGTTCAACCAGCCGGCGGGTTTCAAGCTCAGGCGCGCAGCAGAAGCGCATCCTCCCCAGGTGCGGCACCACGCCGTTCTGGGAACATCAGCAGCTCCCTGCTTGCAGCACACGGTTGCTTTTCCACGAGGGTACCTGATTCCTTCTGCTGCAGCCGCTGGACGAGGGGTCGTGTGGTGACATAAGGAATGCCTTGCTCTGCCTTAATGCGTTGGCCTGTTTCCTTCGGGTGTGATAACAGCATCCTCTGCGAGTAGCTCTTCTGTGCTTGGTGCTGCCCTGATTTCACTGCTGTTGAGCCCATGGCTGATGGGAGAGTGTTTGTTTTGCCCAAGGATCCCCTGGGGTGCTTGGAAACAGAGGGGCAAGCTGCAGCAGGTGAAAGTGCAGCACTTTGTTGGCTTTGGCTGAATGTGTGATTTGGAGGGGCTTGGTCCAGCAAGCAGCCAGGGATGGCACTGAAGTGGAGCAAAAGGGATGTGATGTGCCTTGTCAGCCTCCTGGTAATGTTTTGTGACACAGCACATTGAGATCGGTGAGCAGTGAATTTGGTGTAGCTCCCAGGGAGCTGCAGGTTGCATCTGCATAAATACCTGAGCTAGTTGATAGCAGCTTGCAGGGTGTTTCCAGCACTGCTTCTTCTTCCCAACTCCTGTTTCTCCTCCTGCACTTTCTCAGCCCCCTGTCTTCCCTGCTAAAATGCTGTCTTTGGCACCACTTGCAGGGATAGGTTGTTGAAAAGCTGCTGTATCTTTTGGAATACCCTGAGCCACCCTTCTGCAGCAAAACAGAATTAGCCCCAAGCCTCAGGAGCTCAATGAATACCAAGGTGTGCAACGTGCTGCGTGGGGTGCGTTCCTCCGAATGCAGGGAGCACAAAGTAGA